ATTTTTCTTCTAAAGTCTTTTTTTTTGAAAGAGTCTCACTCTGTTGCCCAGGCTGGAGTGTACTGGCATGATCTTAGCTCACTGCAACCTCCGCCTCTCAGGTTCAAGCGATTCTTCTGCCTCAGCCTCCTAAGTAGCTGGGATTACAGGAGCACACCACCATGCCTGGCTAATTTTTGTATTTTTAGTAGAGACAGGCTTTCACCATGCGGTCAGGCTGGTCTCGAACTCCCAACCTTGTCATCCGCCTGCCTCAGCCTCCTAAAGTGCTGAGATTACAGGAGTGAGCCACCATGCCCAGCCTTTGATCTGATTTTTAAGATTTGTGACTATGTTCATTGTTATCTTCATTTAGCTTGGTATGGCCCAACTAGTAAGAGACAGAGCCAGATTTTCGAATGCAGCTATGAGTCCAAAACACCCACTCTTCCTCCTCATAATGGCAGCTCCTTGATTGTGACATGTCACATAGAGCTAATGCAAAGAACATTACCTTGTGTTGTTTCAGACAACATAGCAAGACATACAGGAGAGTTGAACTCAGCTTCAAAAAATGCTACATTCGGCCGGGCGCGGTGGCTCAAGCCTGTAATCCCAGCACTTTGGGAGGCCGAGGCGGGTGGATCACAAGGTCAAGAGATCGAGACTATCCTGGTCAACATGGTGAAACCCCGTCTCTACTAAAAATACAAAAAAGTAGCTGGGCATGGTGGCATATGCCTGTAATCCAAGCTACTCAGAAGGCTGAGGCAGGAGAATTGCCTGAACCCAGGAGGCGGAGGTTGCGGTGAGCCGAGATCACGCCATTGCACTCCAGCCTGGGTAACAAGAGCGAAACTCCGTCTCAAAAAAAAAAAAAAAAAAAAAGCTACACTCAGACACTAATGAACAATGAGGCATTTTCATTGTAAAGGTGAAGAAAGAACATTTTAGGATTGAGAAAGAACACATTCTTTTTTTTTTTTTTTTTTGAGACGGAGTTTCGCTCTTGTTGCCCAGGCTGGAGTGCAATGGCACGATCTCGGCTCACCGCAACCTCTGCCTCCTGGGTTCAGGCAATTCTCCTGCCTCAGCCTCCTGAGTAGCTGGGATTACAGGCACGCGCCACCATGCCCAGCTAATTTTTTGTATTTTTAGTAGAGACGGGGTTTCACCATGTTGACCAGGATGGTCTCGATCTCTCGACCTCGTGATCTGCCTGCCTCGGCCTCCCAAAGTGCTGGGATTACAGGCTTGAGCCACCGCGCCCGGCCGAGAAAGAACACATTCTAAAAGTCAGATGGGTCAGGTGCAGTGGCTCAGGTCTGTAATCTCTGAACTTTGGGAGGCTGAGGTGGGCAGATCACTTGAGGTCAGGAGTTCAAGACCAGCCTTGGCTAACATAGTAAAACCCTGTCTCTATGAAAAATACAAAAATTAGCTAGGTGTGGTGGTGCTCGCCTGCAATACCAGCTTCTCAGGAGGCTGAAGCAGGAGAATTGCTTGAACTCGAGGCAGAAGTTGCAGTGCGCTGATATGGCACAACTGTACTCCAGCCTGGGCCACAGGGAGAGACAACATCTCAAAAAAAAAAAAAAAAGGGCCGCCGGGCGCGGTGGCTCAAGCCTGTAATCCCAGCACTTTGGGAGGCCGAGGCGGGCGGATCACAAGGTCAAGAGATCGAGACCATCCCGGTCAACATGGTGAAACCCCGTCTCTACTAAAAATACAAAAAAATTAGCTGGGCATGGTGGCGCGTGCCTGTAATCCCAGCTACTCAGGAGGCTGAGGCAGGAGAATTGCCTGAACCCAGGAGGCGGAGGTTGCGGTGAGCCAAGATCGCGCCATTGCACTCCAGCCTGGGTAACAAGAGCTAAACTCCATCTCAAAAAAAAAAAAAAAAAAGTCAGATGGTCATTCTAGTTTGTGTTCCTGTATTACCACAGTCTTTTTTTTTTTTTTTTTTTGAGATGGAGTTTCGTTCTTGTTACCCAGGCTGGAGTGCAATGGCGCGATCTTGGCTCACCGCAACCTCCGCCTCCTGGGTTCAGGCAATTCTCCTGCCTCAGCCTCCTGAGTAGCTGGGATTACAGGCACGCGCCACCATGCCCAGCTAATTTTTTTGTATTTTTAGTAGAGACGGGGTTTCACCATGTTGACCGGGATGGTCTCGATCTCTTGACCTTGTGATCCGCCCGCCTCGGCCTCCCAAAGTGCTGGGATTACAGGCTTGAGCCACCGCGCCCGGCGGCCCTTTTTTTTTTTTTTTTTTTTTTAACCCCAAACGTGGATTCTTACTCCAAGCTAGTGATTCTCTACTCTGGCTGCACATAAGAATCACCTGAGAAGCTTTTACAAAATACAGATGCCTAATTCTGCTCTGGGTGGCTGTTTTAATTGGTGTGGGGTGGGACCTGGGCATTGGTATTTTTTACAAGCTCCCTGCCTGAGTGATTCTAATGTGCAGCTGGGATTGAAAAGCAATCTTCTAAGACAATGTGGTAGTGGTGCATAGGAAAGAGGCTGGCTTGTAGAAGAGCTTTACCTTTTTTGGTGGTTTCATGGCTACAAGCTTGCTAATGATGTTTACCACGTAAGAGAGGGGGCCAGATCTCTGGATTAACCCCAAGACTAATGAATTTTTTTTTTTTTTTTTTTTTTTTTTTTTTTTTTTTTTGCAAAACATGCTAACATTTAGTATGGACATGATGTAATCCTAGAATCTCAGGATTGTAAGGAAATCTCAGGCAATCATCTATCTAATCTATTCCCCTGGATTAGATGAGTTTGGAGAGTAAGAAATACTTATATAGATTAGCAACACTTAAAGACATATTTTTCTTTTCTTTTCTTTTTTTTTTTTTGAGACAGGGTCTCACTCTGTTGCCCACACTGGAGTGTAGTGGCGTGATCATAGCTCACTGCAGCCTCAACCTCCCCAGGCTCAGGTGACCTTCCCACCTCAGCCTCTCCAGTAGCTAGTACAGGCATGAACCACCATGCCTGGATTTTTTATTTTCAAAATTATGGAGATGGGTTTTCCCCATGTTGCCCATGCTGGTCTCAAACTCCTGGCTCAAGTGATCTGCCCACCTGGGCCTCCCATAGTGCTGGGATTACAGGTGTGAGGCACTGTGCCTTGCCTTAGAGACATTTTTAGAGGAAAGATAATGGGGAACCAGAATGGCAGAAAGACTGGGTTTCCCTTTAAGGGAAAAAAGCAATTTCACTGTTCCAGAAGAAATGGAAGCCCCAGCCAGCCTGCCCTCCCACAGCCCCTTCTCTGAGGATTCCTGGCATGTGTCATCCTCCAGGAATGACTGTGGGATGGATTTGCCTGTTGGTGGCAGCAGCAGCTTTTCCTACAGGGGAAGCTGGGTCGGTCGACACGGCTATTCCCAGGGTGGGGATTTCCGTGTATGTTTTATTGTTAGCTGGCCCCAAATCCCTGTGCATTAGACCTAACTCTCTTTTTGGCTTCCACTGCCTTCTCCTCTCTCCTACACAGCCTATAGTCGCAGGGGCAAGGCCTAGTTTTACAATGGCTGCCAGCCTTTCCCTTAGGGAGCCCTGCGCATGCGCTCACTTTTTCCAGTGGTCTCAGTCTGATTTAATGGATATACCGGGACTGATGACACATCAGCATGAGATTCTTCTTTTGCTTCTTGGGTAATTGTCCTATTAACAGCTGTCCCAGGCAACAGGAGGGGGACAGTGTGGGGGGAAAGGAGAGGGGTGGCTTCCTGGGTGAAGAAGGACACACCCTGGGTTTTACAAGGTTAATCAGTAGGTTCTGAGAAGCTTGCACCTGCTCAGACTTGATCTTGAACTCTAGACAGAATGGAAGACATTCCATGGAGTATCAAATATCCTGGGCGCCCACACTCTGCCAGGCCTAGACCTACTGTTGCAATTGAGTTTGTCTCTATACCTTTACTCTCTTCGGCCCTTGCAACTCTTTCCCTTTTTCTGCCCACCTTTGTGAAATGGCTATGCAGGAAACTCCACATAAATAAATGATTGCCCAGTTTTAGTTTGAATTGTGTTAGGGCTGAAAACGGTTCTGCATTTGTTGTGTCAAAAAAAAAAAACAAAACCACTCACCTTCTCAAAATCATCTTGTATTTAAACACTGTACTTTAGTTGAGACTTTGTATTTTTGAACTGTTTTGATTTTTTTGAGGCAGGACCTCACTGTTGCCAAGGCTGGCACCATCATAGCTCACTGCAGCCTCAACCTCCCCGCTCCGCCTCCTGAGTAGTTGGGACTATAGATGTGTGCCACCAGGCCCGGCTTGTTTTTGTAGAGATGGGGATCTCACTATGCTGCCCAGGCTGGTCTCCCAGGTTCACACAATCCTCCCCCCTCCGTCTCCCAAGGTGCCACTGTGAGCTACTGAGCCCAGCCCAGTTCTATGGTTTTACAGTTATTTCTCAACCTTCTTGATTTTTAGAGTTGATGGCCACACCTAAATTTCTCCTCCTTTATTACACAATACCCGTCTTTATCTTCATTGTCTAATTCAGGGACTGAATGCTCTATTTTATTGGTGACATGCCATATCCTTCAAAACTATACATCCTCCAAGGTGTGGTTAATTTCTGCTTTTTTTTTTTTTTTTTTTTGAGACGGAGTTTCGCTCTTGTTACCCAGGCTGGAGTGCAATGGCGCGATCTCGGCTCACCGCAACCTCCGCCTCCTGGGTTCAGGCAATTCTCCTGCCTCAGCCTCCTGAGTAGCTGGGATTATAGGCACGCGCCACCATGCCCAGCTAATTTTTTGTATTTTTAGTAGAGACGGGGTTTCACCATGTTGACCAGGTTGGTCTCGATCTCTCGACCTTGTGATCCACCCGCCTCGGCCTCCCAAAGTGCTGGGATTACAGGCTTGAGCCACCGCGCCCGGCTAATTTCTGCTTTTAACAGGAATATCACAGGCCTGCCTGCTTGAGTTTCAAGTACTCAGTATTTGAGTGTCTACTAAGTTGTAACAGTTAACGCACAAAGTTCTAGTCCTCAAGTCATTAATACTCAAGTATTTATTGGGAGACAGGTGTCCAGCAGTCCCTGCTAAGTGGGAAGATCACTTGAGTCCGGGAGTTCGAGTCCAGTCTGGAATAGATAAGACATGTTCTCTGAGTTAGTCTTTGAAACGGTAAACTAGCTCCGAAGTTTTTTAAGAATTCCATGAGTAGTTGCTGGTGTATGTTTATACACAGTGAAAGTACTTAATCTGTAAACTGCCCCAAAGGAAGCCTCCTAACTCTGCAAGCACAAAATGGGCTCGATCATTTACTGGGTTATCAGTTGGCCTTGTCCTTATTCAGGGACTGACTGACCCATAAATTATGGGGTCTTCCAAGAAGACAGAACTTGAGTTGACACCTCTTTGTCCCCCAGCTGGGAGCAAAGCATTGCAAACGCTAACCCAATGATTCCCTAAATGGGGTCTTCGCATCAGCTGCGTTAAAATCACCCCAGCAGGCGGGTATTGGGCCGCCACTCCAGGGTCACAAAATCAGACTCTCTAGTGGGGCCTCGGAATTCCTAAGTTTAGAAGCTCCCCAAGTGATGCTGGGAATAACCTAACGTTTGAGAGTCACAAACGTGTTTTGAAAATATAACCAGATGGGACTGGAGAAAGTGGAAACTGAGAAACGTCCCTTAAAAAGCAAGACTAAGTTCCGTGGGATTAGATGAGTTTGGAGGTGGGCCAAGCGAGGGGGGCTCTTTGGAGTGTTTCCATCGCCGTCACCCCACATCTCTCACACCACCAACGTCCCACCACCCTCATGGCAATCGTCCGCAGGACTGTTCCCGCGAAGGTACCCTTGCCTGAGCCATGAGGCGCAACCGTCCCTCACTCCTGAGGTGGCTTCTCCAGGTTCGCCCCGAGAGGAAGTTTGGTTTCCGCCGCCAGCACCCAAGATGGCGGATCGAGCGTCGCAACCCCAAGAACCACATGCTTCGTGCCTCGCCTTAGCTCTCTAGGGTCTCACTGGACTTTTGCAAGTCACTGTGGGAACCCTCAAGAGGGGAGTTCCGCACATCGACAGCGATACAACCTCCCATTCCTTGCCCTAGGGCCTCATTGCCCGGCCACAGAAAGCTCTGGAAGCGCCCAGTCTGGGCACTTCACCAGATGCCCAGCCCGCTAACACCAACCGCCGCGAACGCGCGGCCGAGGGGTCCAGAATGCCAGACAGTAGGGCCTTCGCCCTACTCATTGGTGGGTCCACGCCGCGGGGCGGGCTTAGGCACCCATTGGGCCTGAAATTATGTCAGTCTTGGGAAATCGGGCCCGGAGATGAGGAGGTACACTCAGCTATTGGGCTCTCTCTCCTGCCAATCAGAAGGACATCCGGCGACCGTCACCGTATCGGCCCGTTGATTGGAGAAACTGTTCCTAGGGTGCCTGCGGCGGGCGGGCTTCCGAGTGCGGTGGCAGGAGGGGGCGGGGAGGGAAGCGGAGGCTGGGGAGCTCTAGGCCGGCCGGCGGTGGCGGCGGCGAGGCCGGGTCTCGGGCTGAGGGCCTGCTGTGGCGGCAGCGGCGGACGCCGAGCTCAGCAGCGGGTATCGGGCACATTTCTTTCCCGGAAGGGAGGGGTGCAGCGCCGCGGGGCGGAGGCCTGTGGGGCGACGGGCTGCGGGATGGTGCTGGGGCGCAGGAGGCGGGGGCCGAGCGGGGTTCCCGCCGGAGCCGGGCCCTGGGCCTGACAGGGAGGGGCCGCGCGCGGGGCCGAGGACAGCTTGCTCCGGGGTGGGATGGACTGGGCAGGGTTGAGGGCACGAGAAGGCGTGGTGTGAGACCCAGACTTGGGAGTGGGGTGGGGCCATCGGGACGGAGGGCGGGGTGGGGTTTGCTGTAAGGGTGGGTCAAGGCCAGGGAAGTAACACTTGTTCGCTGGCCGCCCCAGGAGGCTGGAAGCTCAGGAGCCGAGAGTGGGCATGGCGACTTGGTCTCAGCCGGACTCGGGTATCCGGGCAGGGTGGGACCAGCCTCAGGCCAGGGACGTGCTCCAAATTCGATTTTTAAGGGACTTTGTCCAGTTTCTCGAACTTAATTGGCTTTTGAGAGGTTTTAGTAATAAATTGCGTGAGAACGGGAGTGTAGCGTAAGCAGGAATTCTGGGTCGCAATTGTGTTTACTCTTGAGAGGGAGTGTGGTGTGTGTGTGTGTGTGTGTGTGTGTGTGTGTGTGTGTGTGTGTGTGTGTTTGGTAGATGGGTCACTTCGCCGGAGAGGAGAGGGGTAGATATGTCTTGGTTTGTTAGATTAATAGAAGCTCAAAAGTGGAGACCAGAAGCAGATTTACCCCCTCGGCACTGGGCAGGCTGGCTGGAGAACGTGGCCATATCCTTCTGCTTTGGCTCAGAAGGTCATATGAATGAAAATAAAACCTGCCTATGCAAATTCTGGATGGAATAGTCCTGCGTAGTAGGCCCCCATCTCTCTCTCTCTCTCTCTCTCTCTCCTTTTTTTTTTTTTTTTGAGATGGAGTTTCCCTCTTGTTGCCCAAGCTGGAGTGCAATGGTGCGATCTCTGCTCACCGCAACCTCCGCCTCTGGGTTCAAGCGATTCTCCTGCCTCAGCCTCCCAGGTAGCTGGGATTACAGGCATGGGCCACCCTCCCCGGCTAATTTTGTATTTTTTTTTTTTTTTTTTTTTTTTTTGAGACGGAGTTTCGCTCTTGTTACCCAGGCTGGAGTGCAATGGCACAATCTCGGCTCACCGCAACTTCTGCCTCCTGGGTTCGGGCAGTTGTCCTGCCTCAGCCTCCTGAGTAGCTGGGATTACAGGCACACGCCACCATGCCCAGCTAATTTTTTTGTATTTTTAGTAGAGACGGGGTTTCACCATGTTGACCAGGATGGTCTCGATCTCTTCACCTCGTGATCCACCTGCCTCGGCCTCCCAAAGTGCTGGGATTACAGGCTTGAGCCACCACGCCCGGCCTTAATTTTGTATTTTTGGTAGAGACGGGGTTTCACCATGTTGGTCAGACTGTTGTCGAACTCCTGATCTCAGGTGATCCTCCCTCCTTGGCCTCCTAAAGTGTTGGGATTACAGGCGTGAGCCACGGCACCCAGCCTTTTTCTTTTCTTTCTTTAAAGTTCTGAGGTTAGGAAAGGGAAATCGGATTTCAAAGTTCAGAAAACAAAAGACTTTCTTCTTCAGGGTGAAGTGGTGGCCTGAACATTGTCCTTTTGTCCTTTCACACTCTTACCCTTTAATACTCACCTTTTTGAACTGGAAAAGACAACTGTTATAGATGGTTTTTCTCCTGAGAGGTGAAAATCCAACTTTACTTTTAAGACAGGAAATGGGCTTCTCATGTAAAAATAGAAGCTGGGTAATGCTCCTGTAGCAGGGAGGAGGGCTGGTAAATAAGACAAAGGTGTAAGATATTTTAGATGCCCTGGTCATTGTCTGCTTATCCAAAGAAAGTGACCTTTTAGAATAGTGCACATTTAATATACAGTAACTGAGATCCTTTGTGATCAGTACCTTTCTTTTATAGTTCTTATGTCTATGATCGGTTGCTATATTTTGGGTTGTTTTTTTTTCTGAGAGTGCAAGTAGTCCTTTCTTCCTTTAAAAGTGGCCTTTAGACCGGGCACAGTGGCTCACGCCTGTAATCCCGGCACTTTGGGAGGCCATGGCGGGCAGATCACCTGAAGTCAGGAGTTTGAGATCATCCTGCCCAACATAGTGAAACCCTGTCTCTACAAAAAATACAAAAATTAGCTGGGCATAGTGGCAGACGCCTGCAATCTTAGCTACTTGGGAGGCTCAGGCAGGAGAACCGCTTGAACCCGGAAGGTGGTGGTTGCAGTGAGTGGAGATTATGACACCACTGTACTCCAGCCTGGGCAAAGTGTGAGACTCTGTCTCAAAAAAAAAAAAAAAAAGAAAGAAAGAAAGTGAAAGTGACCTTTGAATGTGTTTTCTGCCTTGTACTGTGAAGATTTCCTACCCTGATCATGATGTGAAAAGTATGGAATCTTACCCTGTTGCTTTTGTGATTCCTATTTCAGGTTTCTCTGGAAACCCCCCTGGTAAGTGTGGAGGAGGCGGGACACTCTGATCCAAGACAAAAGGCCTGTAGCTCCAGCCAAAGAAAATAAACATTAAGAGGGAGAAGGAAAAAAATCCATCAGCTGTTCCTGAGAACAGCCTGCAGTGGACTCTACGGAGAGGACAACTAATGTGAGTGAGGAAGTAACTGTATGTGGACTGTGGCGACAGTAAGTCACGTGGGCCGTGAGGGCCTGGACTGGGTTAGGAACAGTTGCACTTTCAGAAGTGAGGTGTCGAGAAGGGAAAGGTGAATGTTGTCTGGAGTGTGGCCTTGGCCTTGGCTCCACAGGGTGTGCTTTCCTCTGGGGCCATCAGGGAGCTCAGCCCTTGTGTTCTGCCAGGGTTGGGTACGGGGTTTGGCACCAAGCAGGGTAACCTGCTGGCTGAAGCAGCAGAGCAGTGGCCTTGATTTATCCTTTGGAATATTTAAAAACCAAAAAGCATAAACATTCTGGTCCTTCAGCAATGCTTTCTCTGAAGAAATACTTAACGGAAGGACTTCTCCAGTTCACCATTCTGCTAAGTTTGATTGGGGTACGGGTGGACGTGGATACTTACCTGACCTCACAGCTCCCCCCACTCCGGGAGATCATCCTGGGGCCCAGTTCTGCCTATACTCAAACCCAGTTCCACAACCTGAGGAATACCTTGGATGGCTATGGTATCCACCCCAAGAGCATAGACCTGGACAATTACTTCACTGCCCGGCGGCTCCTCAGTCAGGTGAGGGCCCTGGACAGGTTCCAGGTGCCAACCACTGAGGTAAATGCCTGGCTGGTTCACCGAGACCCAGAGGGGTCTGTCTCTGGCAGTCAGCCCAACTCAGGCCTCGTTCTCGAGAGTTCCAGTGGCCTCCAAGATGTGACAGGCCCAGACAACGGGGTTCGAGAAAGCGAAACGGAACAGGGATTCGGTGAAGATTTGGAGGATTTGGGGGCTGTTGCCCCTCCAGTCAGTGGAGACTTAACCAAAGAGGTTAGTGGACCTGTGGTGGGTGGGTGGGGCCTGGGATTTGGGGGTGGGGGTGGGCTAGTCCTGAAGAATTGTGGTCACAACCCTCAGCCCTGTAAAGAGCCAGACAGGTTCCAGTGGGGCCTCAGGTGCTGTTCTTGTGTAGGGATGGGCTGAACTGTCTGACATTAGGACTGGGGGCTGGGAGCTGGGAGCATTTTCCTGTGTTGAACCATTGACCTAACTAAATGTACTGTCATGGCAGTGGGGGAGGTTCCTACACATGCCAGGGTGTTTACTGCTTGGATTTCAGCATGACTGCTTGAGGCCTGGGGTGGGGGAGGAGTCATGTTGTGATGGGCTTTGATGCAGTGTACATCTGTTGCTAAGACACAAATACTTTATGGACTGTTGCCTTTTACCTCCCCCCACATCAGAACACAGACATACCCTGAAGTTCTCCTCTTGTGGTCAGGCCTGTTGTATTGTGTGATAATTTAGACCTCCTGGGCCTGAGCCAAGGGGTAGATTTGAATAGTTATTCTTGGCCAGGAGAGGGCCAGGGCTTCCTTTCTTTGCTAAAGGCCCACTGCAGAGAGTAGGGAAAAGAAGGCTGGGGGCTAGAAGAGAAACTGCCTTCTGCTGCCCAAGTCAACTTGCTTTGAACTGTCAGAAGAGATGCTTAGCTCTTGTCACATGCCTGACATACTGTTCTGGGCAGAAAGTGATGCCGTTCTTTGCCTTTTTAGATGCAAATGGCTACTGGTGCCTCTGCCCCACCATGATAAGATTGCTTTGAGTTGTGGGTTTGTATGGCTCTGGCTTGCCACCCAGCCTTAAGGGGCTGAGGAAAAGGCCTACTGCACTCCCCTGGCCATTAGGGAAGGAAAATGCCTGACTGGGTTTTTGGAGGTGGCTATGTGGAGGAATGTAAAAAGTTTTACAGATGCTGCAGAAATTGGCTCCTCTGCCTGCCAGGTCAGATCATGTTTTCCCTCCTTCCCTGCTTTGGAGATTTTTCTTGAGCTCAGTTCTCTGACTGTTAGTGACTGTCAAAGAGTATGGCTTGTTCTAGGCCAGTGGTGATTTTGTGAGGGTGCAGGTGCCAGTATGGTGAAACAGTTTTGGTTGTCACAACTTTGGGTGGGGGTGCTACTGGGACCTAG